GGTGCCTCTGCGGCGGCTGCAGCTGCTGCTGCTGAGGAAGGATCTGTGCCCTACCCGGCATCTGTATTTGAGAACTGGTGAGCATATTTGACGGTACTCCTTCTCCGGTACGGAAACATGAATTCCGGGCACCAGATGGACTCCGGATATTTGCATTGTCGTGAGCCACAACTCCTGGGACAGTGGCGTGAGGTAAGCCAGCAGATCCAGGAATATTGCCGTTGCTCTGAATGTTTTGCGACGAAAATTGCTGGTTCATCGGAGTCTGGTTAGCGGGTAATGAAGACGGAAATGATTGCCCTTGATTCATGACTTGGACTGCAAACACGGGCATCGAAAAACAGGGTTACATACTAAATCAGACATCCGAATCAGAGTAACATAACAAGCATCAAACAGCTATGATAAATTGCTAACTTGGTATTTAGTAAGAGAGATTCAGGACTAATTATCAAGTTCAGTAATTGCAGAAGAGATCACAGGTCCAAGAGAGATGAAATCATTAATTCATCTATGATATTATTATTACCTTGATCTGAAGGATTGTTTGTAAAGGCCGAAGAGCGGGGTTGCAAATTATCAGATTGAGCATTTTGAGTTTTGCTCCCTAGTGTAACCATCTTCACAGAGATCTTCCGCAAATAATCCATCTGTAACATATTGGAGGAAAAAGAATTATCGGTTCTGCATACCGTTAGAAATTTAGAGTTACCAATCTTGGATTCATATTCTGAAAATGTCAGGTCTTGCACATTTGGTAATTTGTCAAAAAGGGGAAATAAATAACGGGTTAAAGCCAATGAGGATTCATCTGCACACCTGATCTGACGCAGCGAGGTAGGTTCTCTCCTCAAACCGAACAGCAAGTTGCCTGAGATGATCGATATCTCTTGAACCAGAGGAAGGAAGATGGCCCTTCAACTTGTCCATTCTGCATACGAACAAGAATATGTTTTCAGGATATTTCAGATACTTCATGGACCTACATCCGCGATATACATCTTCAAATGGTAAAGACGCTTAGTACAGAAGGGAAAAAAGGGTTCAAAGTCACCCCCGTATCGGAGGAACTGAAAAAAGCAAATAAATCCAATGATATGCCTACGCTTTCATTACTGGAAATAAAATACGAGCAAGAATGACCCGAGTAAACATTCTAATTCACCAAGCAAGGAAGGAAATGGAAAAAAAAACTAGGAAGAAGGATCACAATGCAACAAATGCATTCACAAGTTACAAAATGTGCACCATTAACGCATTGAATCACCGGATCCAGAAACAAAAACAAACTTGTTCAAGAAACTTTCAGGACGTCCTCCATAACGAGTATGCGGGATAAGTCAGATGTGGAAAAAATATTGTAGCAAATCTCCTCTATAATTAAAGGATTATCAGCTATAAACTCTTTTTACGAAATTTTCATGCTTTAAAAGAACGATGTTTACCGGTGTAATATAGGAATCGTTATCACGCCCTCAGCCAAAACCTTATAATCTTTCCTTATACAAGGGTTTCACATGCACGTGGTTATCTCATCGCAAAGGAGCTACTATGGACCCACGATGGAAAATTATCGTTGAACCGAAACACTGAAACCATTGGTAAGGCTTTTACGAGGTTTTCCAACTCTGTGACAAGAACGCTTACACTGTGTCGAGAACCTTTCGTCGTAAGTCAGGCGGCATCTTTGCTCTCCAATCACTCGCTTCCATTGTGTCTACAACATTTTCGCAAGATTAAAACACGAGAAGTTAAGAATGAGAGACCTGCAATCACCGAGATCTTTGGAGACAATGTTAAGGAAGGACAAGAACACAAAAACAAAGGGACAAGAATCAAGAAATGACTCTTTCAGCTTGTTAGTATCCCAACTTCAAAATTATAAGATAAACCAAGCACGCAAGACTCAGTTACTGTAACACAACTGAATAGGAGTCCTTGGGATTTGTAATACCAGAATTGAATTTGCAGATCTCTTAACTTTGCCATTGAAATAGCATACAATTTATAAAAAAAAATCAAATCTTGATGAGGCCCACCAATCAATCAATCAAAGACCAAAACAAATGCATGATAAGCGTATCATACGACAACAAATCATGTAATGATAAGATTCGATGATGATAACTGAGAGATACTCATCTGCTTCACAAGGAAACGAACCAAAGGCACAGATCAGACAAGACACATAAGGGATCAAAATGAAGACGGAAAGACAGAACAGAAGAATCACAAACTGAGTCACTGTTACGGCACAATGACACACGACCAAACACACGTGCTCGTGTATGTTTGTTTGCGCGTATGTGCGTGTGTGTGTAATTAATAACTTAAAAGGAATACAAACTAAATTCAACCCTACGATTCGGGGTATGCATGAAGATTCTACAATGATCGAACTCTAGGTTTTTTCCCCCGATTGGGAATTACACAGTTGCGGCGAAAAATAAAAAAAAAGGGACGAACCCCATGTTTGTTTCTAGGGAAAACGAAATCAAGGGAAAAACTTTCTCGGGAAATTAAAGAAAAAAACACCGATCCCTGCCGCGGAAGAGAGAAAACACAATCAAAAAATCGGAATTGAGCGAAACCCACAAGTAAAAATCCCAAGAGCAAGACGAACCCACCAGAGATTTTGACCTCGAAGCCCGCGGAAATCGCAGGAGAAATTCGAAGCTACTAGGAATTTGGGAGTTTTATGGAGAATATCGCGAGAATCAACACCAACCCCCAAGTCTTCGACGAAAAGAAAGAAGAGAGACGAAAACTACACACACACATCAATATATATAGGTGTCTGTACGGTATAAGTATATAACTATGTATGTATACGCGTGTCACATTGGCTCTGTGGCCCATCCTTTCTCGACTTGGAAACAAGAAGGCACATTGTCTACGACTTGGGGGTACCCTAAAAAATAATAATTATTAGGTTGGTGAATAAATCACGTGATAAAAAAGATCATCTAGGGAGGAATAATCGTGTCTCGTTGAATGAAATCTAATGGGATTTTGAATTGAGATTTTAAGTGTATCTAATGATAAGAGACTAATATCTATAATTTTAATAACCGAAAAATAAAAATATTTGGCTTAATATATATATATATATATATATATATATATAACATAACAAAACGGATTATCATTAAATACATTTTGTGCGTACCAAAAACAGAGAATAGGGTTTGACTGTACCGAACGAGTATTTTTTTTTTAATTTTAGAAGATAATTAAGTTGCTAGTAATTTAATGGACTAAATAAATGGTTGGCAACATAACTCACCTGCCAAAATCAAATGAGACAAGATGTGGTACGTCATGATCATGTTCCAAAAAGAAAAAATCTCTGCCAATTGAATTTAAAAAAGCAAATGAAATGATTTTTGTAATAAAAAAAAAGCAAATGAAAGAAAGAAAGGGCCTCATAACTGATGAAAATGGGCCGTGGCCCATTAAGCCTAACATATACATATTATAGAATCCCAAGCAATAAAGTGGGCCCAAATAGAAGGCCCATAATTAAAAAGATCTCCATTTACATTTGATTGGGCCGTAGTTGGGCCTTACCTCACAAGCTTCGTGCTCTAAGTATTATCATTTTTATAAAAAATTAACCCAAAACAACAAGAAATTACCAACCATAATAGCAAACTTTATTTAGATAAAATAAAACATTTTTCTTATCTTTTAGTTTAATTGTTTAAAACCACATCTACTACTAACTTATAACATATTTCAATATTTTGACTGAGTAAAAAATACGGAGTTTGAATGTTAAATGTATTAGCGTTAAAATCTAATAATGGTTGAAAAACGATTCCGATTGAAATTCCAAATATTTTTATTCGAATGTAGAATGTTAAAACAATTTTAAAATAGTTATAATATTTGTTAACGGCATAAAAAAAATTGTCACAAGTTACTTTTAACGTCCACGGTATAAGGTTTGAATATTTTGGAAATTCTTAAAGAAAATAAAGGTATTATATGAAAATAATAAATATAAAGTTCCATATCTTTGTTTTAAAAAATCAATGATAAAAGTGTATGCAAATTTGATTATACGTAATATTATTGTTTTTTGGTCATTTGATTTTGTATCAATCGCAAAATATACATGGGTTGATGAATTAGCTAGAGTTTCTTGTACAATTCTTAATTCAATGTGCAAGCACGTTGGCATGTGCAACTACAAAAACAAATGAATAGATAAATTTTAGGTTAGTAAATAAATCGACGAATTAATTAACGAATTTTATGAAATGGAACATAAATGAATACATTGCGATGAAACCCATTATAATTTTCAATGTGTGTTGTTTTCAATTACATGAACATTAAATATATTTTATGCAACTAATTGTGGATTTTTAGAAAAGAATTCACGAAATCGAATCAGATTATGTATAAAAATCGCATTGGTTTGGCGGGTATGGTAAACTGGCTCTCTCTCTTAATTAAAGCTTGAACATAGATAATTAAAGGGCTTAATTAATCTTTGATTAGCGTGGAAATTAAGATCAGTTAGCTACTTATACCAGATAGTTTGACCATATGATTTGACAATTAAGGAATCATATATTAAAATTTTCAAGAGTCTACTAGCAAATAAATGAACAACACGCACTCCATACAAAACTACGAATTAGATTTTGCGAATCATATATTATTAGACGTTATTGTGAAATTTTATCTAAAAGCGCTAAAAAAGAGTACTTAATAATATACCCGGTGGCTGAGAGGTGACAAAGTCATCCTCAAGTTCATGGGTTCGATTCAACTGATGGAGAGGGATATAATTTCTGGATCAAAATGGTCTATATACAAAGGCTGATCCCGGATCTAGGGTGGATGTAGTCGGGTCGAAGGCTCGGAAAACCATCCTAGTTATAAAAAAACCCGAATTAGTGATCGATTCTATTGATTTCTTATAAATTAATTACACTATAGGAAAAAATTCTAATAAATACAAAAAGAGAAAGAATAGTATAATAAGATAATTTAAATGAGAAGTTTAGGACAAACCCGAATAATAAATCGAACTAAGTCATTAACATTTTCAAAAACCGTAAAAAATATATTTGTAAAATATACCATCGAAGTCATAACAGTTATATAATCGATTTAAAAATGTTGGAAGCTACCTGAGTAAACATACAGGTTGAAGACTCTGGTGCATTCAGAAGGTTTGAATGTCGTTAACGGAAAAATGGCAAAGTGAGAATTTCCCACGTGGTTAGTTGCTGAGCTAAATATAGAGCAGAGCCGAGACCAGTTCCGCCATTATCATTTTAGAGTTTTCTTCTAATTCTGGTTGTATCCAAGAAACCCTAGATCATCGAATAAACAATCCTCTCTCTCCCGAGACGTAGGTACGATCACACCGATCGTACTGAACTCGTAATTCCCTGTGTCTTTACATTCCTGTATTCTTGTGTCTTTCTCCATTGTTGTGTTCGTGAGAGATCAGTGAGAGAGACAAATTACCGGTGACAGAAATCGCAGGATCTGAATCGGTGATTGAAGAATCAGAGAGCTCAATAGTACACGTGGTATCAGAGCCTGGGTGATTACTTATCTGGATTGCTCGGAAGGAGATTCGAAATAGGATCGGATCAAGATAGCCATGACGTCGCAATTACAGAAGTTGGATGTAGAGAAGTTTGATGGGAAGAATGATTTTGTGCTGTGGAAGGAGAAAATTCAGATTGGTCTGGATATTATGGGTCTTCTGGATCTCGACGATGATCCTACATTCTAGAAGATTCCCCAAGGATCAAGAGGAGGTCAAGAAGCTGAGACCCCGAAGAAGATGACAACAGTGGAAGAATCTGTTATCAGAACTGAGAGAACGCCAGGTATTGGATCGATTCTCTCATCTTCATCAGGATTGACTACTGAAGAAGGCACAATTGATACAAAAACTTTGCAAGAAAAAGCTGAAAGGAGCAAAAGAGCTCGGAATCTAATTGTGCTGTGTCTATCCGATGAGATTCTGAGAAAGGTGATACAAGAAAAAACTGCATATGGAATCTGGAAACTGTTAGAGCGAATGTTCCTAGAACAGTCATTGCCAAATAGGATGTATTTGATGCAACACATCTCAGATTTCAAGATGGATGAAAGGAAGAGCATTGAGGAGAATCTTGACATCTTTCAGAAGATTCTATCAGATCTACAAAACCTACAAGTTAAAGTGGAAGAGGAGTATCAAGCTGTATATCTCCTAAACTCCCTGCCTCCACTCTACAACAACTAAGAGAAGTTCTGAAGTATTTCTGGGCCTCTATAACTCCTGAAGAGGTGAAAGCAGCAGCAAGGTCTAAGGAAATGGAGCTTCAGGCAATGGGAAAACTGAGTAAAAACAGTGGTGAAGGTTTGAACGTAAGAGGGCGTTCTAATACATGAGAAGACCAAACTTCAAAAGGTCACATTCACGTTCCAGATCAAGAGGTAGAGATTCTGAATGTTGGCATTGTGGAAAGCGTGGGCATCTTAGAAAAGACTGCTACGCTAGAAAGAAGGGTATTCCAAAGACTAATAATAGCAGGGGTGATGCTGATATAATACAAACCACACAGATGGAATCAGAGGTACTTATGATTGAAACTACTGATGCATTAACAACCACTGAAAGAGATGAGATAAACGAGTGAGTTCTCGACTGTGGGTGTACATTTCACCTATGTCCCCATAAAGAATGATTTTCTGATTTGGAAGAAAGCTTCATTGGTAGAGTAAGGATGGGAAATGCAGCAACCTGTAGAATAATGGGGACAGGAAGAATCAAGTTGCAGACACATGATGGGTCTGAAGTTACGCTGAGCCAAGTTAAGTATGTGCCTGAACTTCGGGCAAATCTGATTTCCCTAGGGACCCTTGAATCCCATGGATGTTGGTATAAGTCTCAAGATGGATGCATGAAGGTGATCAAAGGATGTAGAACCATACTGAATGCGCATCTAAAGAATGGATTATACATCTTGGATGGAAAAACCATCACAGGAGGAGACTGTAGGTCTGTTTCAATTAAAGACATGACCAAAATCTGGCACAGCAGGTTAGGACACATGTCCCAAAAGGGGATGGAAATCTTGGCTAAAAAGGGAGTTATTGACAATGCAGAGGTAACAAGCTTGAAGTTATGTGAGAACTGTGTACTTGGTAAATCCCACATATTAGTTTTTGGAACAGGTACTCATACCACCAAAGCTATATTAGAATATGTTCATTCGGACTTGTGGGGTTCAAGTACAACGACACCATCTATCTCTGGAAATCAGTATTTTCTGTCTTTTGTTGATGACTTCTCGAGAAAAGTCTGGATATACTTTTTGAAAAAGAAAAGTGAAGCATTTGAAAGGTTTGTCGAATGGAAAACTCTGGTTGAAAGGCAAACTGGGAAGAAGCTAAAGGTGCTTCGAACAGATAATGGCTTAGAGTTCTGTAATAAGAGCTTTGATGATCATTGCCGGGAACATGGAATCTTAAGACACCGAACATGTGCATATACCCCTCAGCAAAACGGCATTGCTGAGAGGATGAACAGAACAGTGATGGAAAAAGTGAGGTGCTTGCTTACTGAATCTGGTTTGCCTCAGAAGTTCTGGGCTGAAGCTGCATACACTAGTGTTCATATTATCAACAGGTCCCCATCCACTGCAATAGATTTTCGGGTGCCAAATGAAGTCTGGTCAGGACAAGATACAAGATACAAACACCTAAGGAGATTTGGTTGCATAGTCAATGTCCACAGT